CTTTCTAAAGTATATTTAAATTAGCTACAAAACTTTGCAGTATTTTAAATAATTTATAGATGATGTTAAAGCCATCCTAACTTCACTTGTTTTAACAACTATTTTACTGATTTTACAGATATTTTCAAATTGTTTTGGAATGAGGCCCAGGAATTCCAGACTATGTGAAAGTTGAATTTATTGGGGACTGCTTAGTAAAAGGCAGCACCTATTATTATCCACCTGGCAAGGGTTTCTTAACTTTATATCTTACTCATCCATTAACTTTAATGCAGTCCGAACAGCAATGTGTACCCCCACAAATTTTATATCAAAATGACCGGCTCGACACCATAATGTGTGCTATTACTTTTATTGGCGTTTCGAGTTACTATGGCAATGTAATTGGCAAACAAAGACTCTTTTTTTATTAGTATTTTTTCATAGACTCTGGTTGCAAATCAAATATCCAATAGGGCCACCTGAGTGACAAAGGAAAAATATCAGCCAGATATTAAGCTGAAATTTGGTGTGATGGTAGCTGAGTCCAATACCCCATAAATAAAAATAAATAAAAAAAATAAAAAAAATCCAAGATGGCCACCAAAGCTAAATTTAAATGGCTTTAACTCGGCTATTTTTACACATACAGAGCTGAAATTTGGTGAGGTTATAGCTGAGAGCATTCCCCATCACATACTGAATAAACAATAAAAATAAAAATCCAAGACGTTCACCATAGCTTAAAAGACAAAATTACTTTAACTCATTGATATATTGCCATTTTAAGCTGAAATTTGGTATGGTGGTAGCTGAGTGAACCCAAACACATAGTGCTGTCAAGACAAAAATTTTAACTGACCGTCCCACGGCAGTTCCCCATCAGTTTCTCCAGGAGCTTTCTTGTTGCTTGATATTGCTTCATGAACCTTTTATAGCTTGCAAAACCTTACCCTCAACTAATCAAAAAAACTAAACAAAAAAAAAAAAAACTCCAAAAGTTCGATACTTTCTTTTTAATTGGGGAACAATTTAGTTTTGAAAAGCAACTTTACATGGATTTATTAGTCATTTTAGAAACCACGCCAGTTCCTCCATCTTGTCTGACAAAACATGTCCAAACTATGGGTTAACAAGTCTTCCATGTTGCCATTTATAATATTGGTGGTTGGTGAGGATGAGCATGCACTGTGGGCCGAATGTAAAATGTTACTTTGGAAATCTAAATCTGAGTGAATGTGGGACTGGTGCTTTTGGAATATTTTGGGTCATTCTTCTGTCTTACTGTGGTCTTTTCAGTCTTTTAAGTTTACATTTTAATTTTTGTGATTTGTGCAGAGTGGCATCACTATTATTTTATTCCATTTTGTGTATTTATTCTTTTTATAGAAAGATCTGTTTAACAATTTTAAATGGAACAGCTCAACATTTTCACAGCCTTTACAATTCTCTAACTTTGGCATACATATTTAACACTTCGTATTTCTGCCTTAACTAATGGCAAATACTGTTCTTTGGTTCAACTTACTTTTGAAGTAGAAATTTAAAAATCGAAACAATAATTTCTTTTATGTGTATATATCTGTGGAGACCTCAGTCAAACATGTTCTATAAAAAGCAATATCCATGGGGTTCATGCTTCAGATACTTAGTTTATTTCTCACACACCAATCAACCATAAGACCATGATTACTATACATATAGCAAATCTTTATTTTTTTACAACAGTATCTGGTGGTGAGATACATTAGGCAGCAACTGAACCATCTGTACTAAAATATGTGTTTGTTTAAGAGAGAGGTTCAAGAACAACAAGCATGTTTTTTTTAATAAGAGCTAGATTATTAACCAATTGGTGAAGTCATAGCTTTTCTAAAAGTGTATTTTTTTTTACATTACTGATCAGCAGGCAGTGACTTGCAGTGCATTAGGTAATGTTTTTCTGGGAATCCTTGGTTTCCACCATTCATTGTTACTGTAATATGTCAAACTCAACTAAATATTCTAATGCATGTTCAATAATCCAGGTAGAAGAATCGAACAAGGAGTCAGGTCGTCTGGATGAATTCTTCTTGTTGAAACATTTTGTCTTTTATCAAAAGACTTCTTCAGTCTAGACCAGGGCTTTCAACTGGCAACCCACTTCATTCCAGCCCACTTAATAATAATAAAAAAAAAAAAGTTATATTTTTTTTATTTTTGGGGGGAGTTCTGGGTATGGGTTTTGGGTTCTGTTTATTGCATTTATGATTCAATGCAATAAATTAAACACAATTAAAAATGTACCAGATCATTGTAAACGTTGGTTTATTTACATAAAGATTTGAACCGCTGGATGTCCCGAGCTGTTGGCTTTTAGGAACTGTGGAACTGTGGCCCACAGAGCAGTTTTGTTGAACAGCCCTGGTCTAGACTGAAGACTGAAGAAGTCTTTTGGATAAAAGACGAAACGTTGCAACAAGAAGAATCCGTCCAGAGGACCTGACTTAACCTTGTTAGATTAGGTTCAAGTTCAAGTCAAGTTTATTGTCATTCGCATCACATGTAGTACATGGAATGGTGGAATGAAATTATGTACTCAAGGTCCCAGTTACACCTAAAAATAGCATAAATATAAAGTATAAAAAGAAACAGTATACGAGGATCTAAGATATATGCTAAACGAATGTCAAATGGTACGCTAACAGATCTAAGATTTACTAATTATTAACTAATTATTGTTACAAACTTGAGGGTTGCGAATCCTTTAAAACAACCAACTTTCCTTATACTGTCATGAAAGTACAACACGGCAAAAATGTTTCAAGAACAAGTTAAAAACCTCAATATCAAGGTTGAAAAGTGACCTCCATATTCTATATGTAATTGGTTGAGCATATGTTGGACGTGCATAATAAATCCAGTTTATGGAGGTTCCACCTTGCTTTTTACAAGATTTCAATATTTAGGTGCCCGATATAGTTTCTCAAAAGTCTTGAGGAATCATGGTGTTTAGAGCCAAATAGGAAAACATTTTTAATATTTGGCAGGAAGTCATAATTTTATGGCTGATTGAACTGTATCCATCACTAATTCTCGTTAACATATCACATTTGATTTGGACGAGCTGTCTGGAAAAAAGTTTTTATATTATATTACCTTGTTTGCTGTTGCAAAGTATAAGTTTTCAAAATAAAATCAAAGCTTTTTTTTCCAGTCTCTTCTTTCTCTTGTGATGCTACCCCTTTTTCACAGGTTCTAGGCTAAATTAAGAACTCGTTCTTTTTTTTTGCTAGGGGTACCACAGCAGGGGTTTAGCAAATTATCTCCAAGACAAAATGGAATGTCTGTTTCTAAAAGAATTCTGTACTGACCCAGTTCATTTGAATATGAGTTGTACTTTAGTATACTCCAGTTCAGCTTTTGAAGAAGTATTTCTTTGAATGTCTTTGACCATCAGCGTTGCATAAACAGTTGTCTTCCTTTTCACTCTTGTTTTATATTCTTTTCTCTATCTAACTGTGTGCTAACGCAACATAAACTGCAATACAATCATTCTTCTGCTAATACAAATAATACATGCTCAAACAGTATTGTTTAAATATGCATATGCTTTGTTTTATACCAGGAAGATGTGATGTAGTCTTAAAAAGGGATTGCTAATTATACAGTAGCATTATTTTTGAAATACTGGTTTATTTATTGAGTCATCATTGTATATTGTTTGTTTTTATGAGTCATATATTTTCAGAGACCACACAGGCCCTTAATTATTCTAAAGCTGCATGCAGTTAGTTATTATATTACTACAAAGATCATATAATGATTGTATTAGTTTTGCGAGGAGACCCTATATAGTTGTAGCTCGTTACTATTTTTGCTATCTGCCACATGATGTTGAATTCAATGTACCGATTTGCCAGAACAAAACAATTTCTCCTCAAGTTTTTTTTTTCTGATGAGCACACTAAAGATAATGTTTGTTGTTTAATTAAGCTGCATCAATAGGATTAAATTCTACAACTTCTAAATTGTATATATTTTTTTTACTGTCGAAGAATTAGAATTATTAGAAGAATTATTTTTCAGTTTTAGACAATAACACAGCTTTTCCTATTAAGTGAGGTGCATGTGGTAGCACATTAATCTTATTTTTTTATATTTGGTTTAATCTTTTGGTAGACTGATGGAAAAGATAAGCATCGCTTGTGTTTGGAAGTTACAAATAACGAAGTTTCATGCGATTTTATTTATTTATTACTTCTTCAAAAAAGGAAAAAGAAGAATAAAAAACCAAGGTTCTCAGTGTGACCTATAACTTTCTGCAATCAAAATGCAATTCCCCAGAAGCATGTTGCAGAGAGAAGCTCAGCCTCAGATTAGAATACATTTGCTGTGCTAACAGACACCTTCCCACTGTGAAACAAGTCCCACAGTTGCAGTAATGAAAATCGCTTCTGCTACCTGCCACTATTGACAGATAACAAGGTTAAACCCTGGGAATTGTGCTGACTGCACGGGTTCAAGGTAGTTCTGCCACACAAATTTGACATCTGAAGACCAATGGTAATGGCAACAGATTGATTTCAGGCAGGAGAGACCTTCTAGGTTCTGCGCTCACAGTAGCCAACCATCATATTGGGGCAAGAATTTGTGACTATAACAGTCCAGAACAATTTTTATCCTCCCAACCATCACATCAGTATGTTAAATTAATTATTTTTTTATATTCTTGTACATGATATGCAAGTTATTTTATTTTGAAGTTTAAAAGCGGTTTAATTTACTAATGTGATGACATTAAGAATGTCAAATATGAAGAAATTGCAGCGACGCAGACATTATCTTTACGATGCGAGTTCTCTTGCTGGCTTGTATCAGTTTGAGTCTTATGGTGTGTGCTTTATTTGTGTGTAGAATTTTTGTGATGTTACACAGGCACTAATGCTTTAACATGTAATGGACAATTTTCTAGCTTACTAATGATTGTGCTGTTTGTGTCTTTTTGCACAATAACCTTCTCCGCTGATCGCTGCATGCAGATAACTGGGAGCAAAGTTGCGGTAAGTAGCCTATTATTTATTTGGCTTCTAAATCTGTGTCCTTATGTATTTCTGATCTTCTTCAAATCCTGATCTCATACACACATGCACGCACACACACAATTTTGCTGCAAAAAGAAGTTAAGGTCATTTTTCATGACTTAAATTGTAGTTTAAATTGTTGAAGTTACTGATTGGTTTTAATAAAAAAGAAGACACATTGTGCATGTGAATTGTGGCCCTTTGGGGAGTGTGATTTTGAAATTGAACACAAATTAAATTATTTTACTACTCTATTATTACTCTAATATTTCTGCTCTCGCTTTTTTAATAGATTGTTGTGTACCCCCTATTATAGGATCAATAATAAGTTTTACAGATGCAAATTTCACTTGCTTTTTTTTTTTCTTCAGAAGTTGGCTTTAGCCATTTATGAAACTCAACACAGTTTTATCCACATAAGATGCACTCATTGCATGTGTGTGGACAAAATGAACTTACTAAACCACAGTGAACACTTTTATTCTGCCATGAAACAATTCTGTTTACTGTACCATATAGAATAAAAGAAGGCATTTATTGCTAAATGTTTTGAATCAGTTGTAAACGCTATTGTATGCAAAATTAGAGTTAAAGAAGTATTTATTTTCTTAGCAAATTTATTGTGTGAATGTTTTTGAAGCATCACTATTGTGATCCATTTTACTTCCATACATTTTTCGGCGCGTTACCCGTCCCGCAGTTTTCTAGCTATTTCAACAAATCATAAATCAAAACGTTCAGCTCTTTCAGGACAATCCTGCTGTGACTTTTGGTTTTGGTGCAATTTTAGCTTTTTGAAATATTTAGCCTTTTCTGCCATTTTTTCCTCATAGGAAATGAATCGAGCTCATTTTACATCCTTAAAATCTTTAGATGTGTTTACAACTTTTTACTGCTCCTTTCACATTTTGTGCTGGTTCAGCTTCTTTTAGCTTCCTTCTGCAAATTTAAGCATTCTTTCAACTAATTTCAGCTGGTTTTTTTTTCGGCTGTTTTGTGATCCTTTCCGATTCTTTCTGCTAATTACAACATTTTTGTGCTTCTTCTAACTTCTTTCTGCCAATTTCAACTTCTTATGCTCCTTTCAGCTTATTTCTGCAATATTCATCTTTTTCTGCTATTTCAGTTACTATTTAGCTGATTTTATGCTAACTTTAGTTTTTTCAGCACATTTCACTTTTTTTTTTTTTACACTAATTTCACCTTTTTTCAGTCTAATACAGCAAAACATTTGCTCTTTCCACTTCCTTCTGGTAATTATACTTCTTTCTGCTTTTTTAGCTACTTTTCAGCTGTATTTTGTTGTTGTTGTGGTTGCTAATTTCAACTTTTTTCAGATAATTTCTACTTTTTTGTGCCAATTTCTGCTTCTTTCAGCCTAATTGGACAAACGTGTTCTGCTTTCTTCTGTTAATTTAAGCTTGTTCTACCCTGTCAGCTACATTTTTAGCCTTTATTTTGTGTGATAATTTTAGCCTTTTTCAAATAAATTCACATTTTTCATGGCAGTTTCTGCTGCTTTCAGCCTAATTAACTTATTTCAGCTAATTTCAACATGTCATGCTCCTTTCAGCCTAATTATACTAGTTTCAGCCATTTCTTATATTTCAACTACTATTTAGCTATTTTAATGCTAATTTGAGCTTTTTCAGCCAATTTCACATTTTTTTAGCTCGTTTTAGCTCTTTCCACTTCCTTCTGATAATTTAAGCTTCTTTCAGCTACTTTTCAGCAATTTTTTTTGTTGCTAATTTCAGCGTTTTTTTAATTATTTCCTAATTTTTGTGCTAATTTTGGGTTTTTTAAACCTATTTAATCTATGTGTTCTTTCAACTAATTTAGGCTTGTTCTTCCATTTCAGCATGTTTTTTTTGTTAATTTCAGCTTTTTTTCTGCAATTTCTTCAGCAATACGCAGGAAATGCAATTTTCTTGTTCTTTTTGTTGTTGTCATTTTAATTAAACTTGTTCAGAAACGTGGGGAAACATCTAAATTATTTTCTTGTCAGAATATCAAATGATCTTTTTGTTACACTTAAATGTCACAGACTTTTTAATCATAAAAAGGCTTGCCTTTAGTTTTTGAAGAGCTCTTTTCAGATTTCAAAAAAATCTATAAAAACACTCGTACAGTAATGGTTTGACAAGTGTGGGATTACCACTTTAAATTGTGTCATTTTAAGGGTTCTTTCGTTGCCTTTTGAGAACTTCACAAGGATTAAGAGGATTGTAAAGCCAAGCAGAAGAACACACAAGGTTAAGCGGTGCACTGTGACCCGGCCTCTGAGCTGGCCATGCTCACACACAAACCTTGCTCTTTGAGCCATTTTACACAGACATTTTGTATTGATTGCATTTTTTTCAGCCTTTGTTAAACTGCTCTTTTGTGCCTGGTTATTTCTGTGGGCGCGAAGAGTTTATCAGCTTGGCTTGTGTGGATGGCTATAGAGTAGGTTTCAGCTGTAATGGCTATATTGTGTTCAGTAAATAGAAAGGACAAAATTACTTCAGCTTCGATCATGACCGCTCATCTAAGATGTGGAGACCTTGTTTCAGAATTTCTGCAAAACCATTTAAAAGATACCAGAGGTCCTGGTTCTCAATAAGTTTCTTTCAACTCAAAAGCTCACAGAAGTGTTTGACCTGCAACTTTTAACCTCTGTGACATTTCTGAAGACTAAAGACTGAGAATGTTGAGCTGTCTTTTTAAAAACTCCTCTGAATTAGAAAAAGAAAATCAATGTATTTAGCTACGTTGGCCAGTTGTGGGCTAGTGAAGTCCCTGCTTTGCTGGCAGATTGTTATTTTCATTTTTCATGTCGTTAGTGTGCATTGATACAGTAAGTGTGATCAGATGTGCTAGAAGGAAAGTGTTAGAACTGTCCATAGGGAAGTCTAACTCCTCTTTTTCAGAAATTCAGCACCACTTTCTCCTTTCCTAGGAAAACGTGATCTCAAATTAAAATCTTATGATTTTACTTTCATCAATTCTGACCATTGCAGAAGTGTAAGACAGCTCTACAACAAGGCTTATTTTTATTGGGATGTCTGAAAGCAAAATTGAGGAAAATTTGAGCAGAACAGCAAGGTTATGATATTCCTGCATGTAGACTCAGAGAACCCATTTTATTTTGACTAGGGATGCACAATATTATCGGCATGGTATTGGTTTCGGCTGATATTACCGATAAAGTTAAACATCGGACATCGGCCATTCCATCAAAGTAACTCACCGATATAAAAGGCTTTGGTTTTAAGTTAATTATTAATTAAAAAAAAAAACTATCAAGTATATATCTTAATGCTACTACTTATGCACTTTTCACTTGTCACTTGTGAACAGGTGGAGTTTAGATTTGTAAAAATTTACAAATTTGCACTGTTCGAGTGTTGTCATTGTATTAGAGAGTAAATGTCATGAATACATTTGACATTAAACACAATCCAAGTTGAAGTGTTACATCATTTTCATCCCACTTTTTGGCATCTGCATTTGGTAGCAGGCCAAAATGACAAAGCCCATGCAGAATAATGTAGTATTTTAATTCCACAACAGAGAAAGCTATGTAGTCTCTGTAAGTAGGTCTTGGAAAAAAATATTGGTATTGGTATTGGTTATCGGCCAAATAAGTTTTAATATATTGGCATATCGAATATCGGCCAAAAATCCAGTATCGTGCATCCCTAATTTTGACCTCTTTAAAGAGTTTGCTGCAGCATCTTGTTGACCTCTACAATGGTTTTAGAAAATAAGGGTCCGTAAGCAATAGCCTGGTTTACGTCACAAGTCAAAGTCCATCTGTCAGTGCCTGCTGCAGTGTTAAAAGTAGACTTCCATCTTGTCTTGTCGGTCGACAGACTCTGCATCTCAGAATGCTGTTGAGACGTACAGAGCGATAGGGTGCGCGATCCATTTGTTAAAAAAAAACAACAAAAAAAAACAGTGATGAAACATTTCCAGACCTCAGGAAATGATCAATACCTGTACAACTGGGCAGATGAATTCTTAGCTGCTGGTCATCTCTAAAATGTCAGGTTGTGATGGTAAATGTAGTTGTGTAAACAGCTTCTCTGTGTGTTGTTGTCAGTGCGGAGGTTTGACTGATGAAGCCTAAAATGCTTCTAACTTAAGAGGAAAGGTCACCGGATCTTTGTATAGTTGCACTAGCTGATCCAGTATTTTTGTATAACTATTACGCATGACTGTATGTATTTAAACCTCTCCCTAAAAAATATACATATATTTATTGTATATATATCGAGGCTAAAAGAAAGTCAAGGCATCCCACTACCATTACTGTTTACCTCCTAAAACTACATACCTCAAAATATTTTTTGTTTAAAACAAGTACTGTATTAAATGTTGTGTTTAGGGTTGAGCAGATTTGATGTGGCACATGTCCTTGGTCCTTTAAAAGAACGGCAATGAAAAATTAATCAATTGAGTTTGCCTCCCATGCCCTGAGCCAGTGTTCACCATAGATTCTATTTTAAATTAAGATCAAGGGAACATTTTCTGAAGGGAACTATTTGAATAAGATAATTCTTTGATTGGCTGAAAGCTTATTTTAGAGTTCATCTGACTGCCATAAAGGTAGACTGAGACATGTCAGGGATGATTTTTCGAACATTTTACTTTTAAATAGGTGGGTTGGATATGAATTCTTCTACGAATTTAAAGGGTTTTAAAAAAAAAAAAGTCTGCTCCACCTATTCGGTTGTTTTAAAATAATCTAAAGAAAAAACATATTTTTTGCTTCCTGCTGATAGGGAGTTTTGGAGCACAAAGTGTATGCATCAGAAATACTCTCAAGTTGGAAGTATCAATAGAGGTCCAGAACTGTGTATGCCGTTTGATTTTACTCAGACGATCCTCGACTCAAACAATAAAGTGTTTACTGTGCCAGTTTTCTAATACATGCAGTCTGATGCAAGAATGCATTTACATTTAAAAAAGGTTCAAAATTAAACAACAAAAAA